TATATATATTTGAAGTGTACTATATTTTTTCATATTTTTTTGTAAAAGTACTATAAATTTCTCAGAAACTGTTGGCAACCCTAGTCTAAATGTACTAGAAGCGCCCCAGTTCAGAACTAGAGATTTCCCCACAGGGATGTTACAAAAAAGAAGGTAGTTTAAATAAACAACTTTTGATGGATAATAACATTTTTGAAGTTTCATAAATTGTCTGCATTATCAACGCCCTTGCCACTTTGGTAATATTAAATAACGCAATAAATTGGAGTATTTTCTTTCATATCTTTATACCAATGTAATAATATTTCAAATCAAAAATCGTTATCAGTGCTTGGTATTTTTTTTACTACGTAATGCAAACTGTTAGAGGTTCTTTTTATTTTGTAATAAAAACTACGAGCGCATTATGTTGTTTTCATTTTCTTATTTTGAAAGCAAACTTGTGATTTAGAAATCTAATTGGGATGAATCCAAATAAAACCTTTTTAATATATTTTGGCGGCCGCTGTTGTGTAGTGGCTAGAAGTGTGCGCTACCATTCCGCAGGGCCTGGGTTAAAGCACGGTTCAACCGAACATCAACAAATAAAAAAACAAATTTTTTTTTATTGCGGTCGCACCTCGGCAGCCAATGGCAAATGCAAAATAGCTTCCCATAAAAATACAATCGCCGTTTGGAGTCGGCGTAAAACTGCAGGTCCCTCCCTTTGTGTGACAACATCAAGGCACACGCCACAAATCGGAGGAGAAGCTTGGCCAAATACTAGCATATTTGTAAGCGCCAATCTATTATTATTATTATAACCAAATTTACTTTTAAATTTCTCATCATAGTTTGCAAAAATGAGGCTTTGTGGTTAGCGTATCACCACTGACTTCAAAAAATTTTGAATTTAAAATTTCCAATATATGCAAAAAGCTTTTTTATGGCTTATATAGACCGCCCTCCGGTAAACAATTAACATAAGTATAATTTAGATCACTTTCTTCATGCTTTCTAAGATCTAGTTTCGTCAACCACATTTTTGAAACTATGTAGATGGCAAAATTTTCAAGTCCATCATATTCCAGATCTTTGAGTGGACTGATGAAATCTTGATGCGCCTAAAAGATGCAGCGATTTCTATTCTCAAGTTACATACCTTATGACAGTATGAATGGCAATTATAATAGTGAGGTTTTAGTTTTTTAAACTATAATTTTATTTGTATCGTGGTGGAAACAGTATTTTTGACAGTGTTTCAATTTCAAAACGATGTCGACGATTTCTACGTTTTACTTGTAACCATGATACAAAAAAAGAAGGTTGTTTCACTTTGCAATTTTTTAACATAAACTGTGCTCATGACGTTTATACTTTTCGTAAATTGCTCAAGTAGCACTGCCACCTCAACAAATTATTGTTTTGGACATTTTAATATTTTTTAAGGAATTTTTTATGCATTAAAAAATTAAAACTCGCAAGGTAAATTTCGTACCTTTTTCATCGTATTAGCAGGGCTGTTAATAAGTGTTTATTGATTTAAAATATCTTAAATTACCTTACGGCAAAGCAATTTGACATTATTTGCGGTGTTACATGAAATATTATCTGGCTCTTTAAGAAATTTAGATATTAGGATGTTGCTTTAATTTAGATCTTTTTTAGTTAACAAGTAACTTACCGTCAATGAAAGCACAATGAAAGCGTAAACTTATTTTTGATAACGCATGATGTAGACATGAAGAGGGAGGTAATAAAATCTCCTAATTATTAGAGCTCCTTGTTATATTTTATAGTCGGATAAACTACTCGCTCTACTGCTCCTGGTGCCGCGAGTCGCTTCAATTGGGCACATGGACACTGCAGATGGAACTATCCTCCTCACTCAATCCCTATGTTTTTTAAACGTTTATCTTTTAACCGAGGTAACTCGCATTAGACGTTTTCGGAGTTTCTTTTCTAATTAAAGAGATGATTGATTTGTGGCTTTATATTTCCATTCTTAAATTCTATTCTATTATGATTTATATTTATTTATACCACATAAATACATACCTATGTATTCAAATTCGGATATCAAACGGTTATAAGGCAAATACATGCATATATAAGTGTATTTTACATAAAGAGAAAATTCGGGACCGCCACTAAATATAGGCCGAACAAACCTCGACCCCTACAAAAATAATTTAAATTTTAAAACAAATTTCCAACGTTTTCTCTTGATACTTGGTCTGTGCTTTTGAAAAATACTAAATAGCAGGGACCGTAACAGTTACAACTTTTATTAAAAAATCACTCTTTAACAATTATTTTTTGGCTTTTATTTAATTACTCCTTAAATAACAGTTTTTTCTGATTTTTATTTTATAAATCTGAAAATAACAATTATATTTGATTTTTATCTAAAAAAACTGCAAATAACAGTTATTTTTGATTTTTAAATTATATATCTTAGATAACAGTTATTGAAGTTTTTTATTTATAAAAGTCATTAATATAAGTCATTCTGACTTTTATTTTTAAAATCATACTTATAAAAGTCATTTGTATAAGTCGTAGTAAATTTTGGTTCCCCAACACCTTCTTAACTGCGAAAAATGATAGTGACTTTTATGCGTATGATTTAAAAAATAAAAGTCGGTGATTGATTTTTATTGAGGACTTTTATAAATAAAAGCCTTCAACAACTGTTATCTAAGATTTATAATATCAAATTCAAAAATAACTGTTATCTACAGATTATTTATATAAATATTAAAAATAATTGTTATTTTGGAGTTGTAAAATAAAAATCAAAAATAATTGTTTTTTTTTTTAATTTTGCATAAAAACTAAAAATAAAAATTTGTTTCCAATTTTGATTCTCGGTGAAAAAAGAAGCCGATTGGTATGTATCACTTAGTTGTAGAACATTTCCTTCATAGTGATTTTTTCAATGACAGTTTTCATCAAAAACTGTTATGTTCGGTCTCTGCAAAATAGTTTCACCTTTATTATCGTAGTATGTGGTGAACGATTTTTTATAGAAAAAATTCATCTACAGAGAGACTGCTTTTGGTATACTGTTGTACATATCAAGTAAATGGGTAACAATTTTTTTTTCTTGTTTTATGGTAATTTCGTTTCTTCCAAAAAATGTGGCCTTCCACAGTGCAAAATGGGTTTGTTGTTACCTTCAGCCCGTTAAAGGGCATGTTTTTGCCCTCTTATCCTTGTCTGGCTCAAGCATCTCATAATATGGTCATTTTAAGCAACCATCTGGTTTTCAAGGCAACCGTTTGCCTTTATTTTAGAATCGAATACGAAAAGGGGCAATCAAAAGACAATATTCTTTGGTAGAAACGAACACACCTTTAGTCAAAATGCGTTATTTTAAGTTCAGATGGGCTGTATTCCAGAAACTCGTATTATACTGATTTTCGATTTTCCCCTGTTGTAAATAACCTCGACTTACTTTGAACATCGCTCTCCAAGTTCGAGTTCAAAAAGTTTCATCAATGACGGACAATTCACAACATTTAGACACCACATAGATTCTTTAACGGTCACGTTTACGACGTACCTCAAGACTAGCAAACATTTGTTGGCTTCGGAATACGGAGGAAACCTTTCTAGGTTTCCCACCAGGCCAGATTTGCGGTTGTTTTGACTAGCATGAACATGACCTTGCTAAATTTGCACGTGTATCTAAAAATGCGCTTTCGCATATATTAGAATTAATAATATGTAGCTTTGTGAGTATTAACTAATCAAATTTATCAAGTTAACAAAATATTATAATTCTTACCTTCCCAATAAATTCAGGAAGAATCCGGGCCCTATGGGAAACACCCCCGACCACCTACCCTCTAGGCGGGCCTGCAAATATTAGTATCAATCAGAGTGTCCAAATTTGGCGATTTCGCGCCAATTTGACGATATTTTTTTTGGATATTTGCGCGTAAAAATTTAGGAAATCGCCATTGGCGATGTTTTCCTTTCAAATAAATTTTTTCCAATTATAAAAATATACAAAACTTAGTTTTCCACGATAATTTTACAGAAGACGCAAATGAACTGCGTAATAAACTTGACATAAGAAGCATATTAAAAGACTGTCACCCTAATCGAAGAACTTTTGAAACGATTACCTAGTCAATAAAATACTTTTAAAAAAGCTTTGATTTTGTCACCAGACAAGTGTGTGAATCACAAGAGGGCGAGTTTCAGCGACCTTCCAATTCACTATTAGACTTTGAAAGAAAAACAGCGGAAACTGAATATTTAAGTCTTTTAACTTTCCCATGGAATAACTTTTCTCAGAACCATTCGATCCGACTCTGAAGAATTTTGGATAATTGCTTACGAAGTGAAAACCGCAACAGGCAATAAAATGTTTGGAAATATAAGTAAATTCATATTATCCTTGCCGCACTGACATGCTTTGTTGAGCGCGTTTTTTCTGTAACGGATTCAACAAAAACTAAAATTCCAAACAAGATGAGGTTGGAAAGCCACAATTCAATAGTTCGAATAAAGTGGTATATGTATGTTATCAAGGTTAAATAGCTCAATATATGACAAAAACAGAAATATAAATCATTCAGACACTACAGGTGATTTTATTATAGGTTTTTTATTATAGGTTTTTATTTAATTTTTAGCGCCGAGCTCTTAAAAGCGGATTGTGCGATTAATCAAGTAATATTAGTTATAATAAATATAATAATTGCGCAGTCCTATTGTAAAATGTGTTGAAACAAATATTTTTAAAAAGTATGCGTATTTTTAAAGAAAATTGTTTGTACATCACTATTACATAAGTGATTTGTGTTATTTATTATTACCTTCTGAAGATATTATATTCGTTTTTGGTTTTAAAAACTATATTATAACTAACAAGATTTCATTTTTAAAATAAAAGCTTTGTTAAAACGATTTTATGATTTTTTTTTTTGAACAATCTGGACACCCTGGTGTCAGTTGTTATTTAGAGTAAGATTTAGAATGTAGTTTTTTGTTATTTTCTCTTACAGGGAATACCCATGTGACCATTACACATCAGTAATCACGGTTACACTTTTAATGACTGGCTGTCCGCGCGTTGAAGTGCATTCCACCGCTCTCCAGTTATTACAAATATTGGATAAACGCTTCTTTGGCAGCGTGGCTTCTCTGCATAGCGATAACGATAAAGGTATGTTTGATATTCTTGCGTCCAAAAAGTAATTTATCAGTGTTTGCTGCATAAATAAATCGTATACAAAAAAATTTTGCATTCATAGAAACAAAAATAATAAAATAAAGCTATGTGTGTACATATGTAAGCGTGTGAGAAGGTATTAAGCTATAAAACAAACTGCTTACATGTTATAATAGGAGAAGCTCTGTATCAGGGTTGTTGCGAATATTCGCATTCGCAACCGCGGAACTTCCGCATAAATTATGACATTCGCATTCGCTTTCGCATTCGCAATAATCAATGCGGAGCCTTTGCGAATGCGAACATTGTACAAGTGCACTTTTAAAACGTATATCTGGCAAATACAAATTTTAGCCAATATTTTTTGCCTGTAGAAATGCTACGGTAAGACTGTCCCCTACGTCTACCTTCTTTCGTAATTTAAAGTCAAAGCGTAAGATAATAGTAGGTATTTCCAGCGGAAATGTTCAACGGCTAGCTATAAAGAGAATCGAATATTATTCGTCAAAGGTCTGTTGAAAAAACTGGATGCATCTCTAGTTGTTTAATGCTTTTTCTTAGTGTAATTATTTTTTTCCTCATAAAACTTATTATTCTTAAGTTCCGTGTTTCCTTCTATTAGTCTTTCAGCTCGAAAACAAAAACATTTATTTTAATATTGTGTAAATTGTCAAACTTAGCACGCATCGAAATAAAGATAAAATTGTATGTAAATAAGTCGACAGCCAAGTTCACAAATTAAATAAGAATTAATTCAAAGTGAATTTTATATCTATTGAGGAGTGGGACTTGGCATGTAATATATAGTTAGTATAGTATTGAAAGGGCTTAACTCACATCGTAGCTGAATTACAAAAAGCCGTAACTAACTAAAAATCCAAAATTAACTTTATTATTGATTATGATGCATTTTATCGAATCATAAGTCCCCACATCGTTTTAGGCAATACAAAAATTTAGTTAGTTGTGGTTTTTGAATTTCAGCAACAATGTGAAATAAGCTCTCTTAAAATAGTATTAGCGATATATATGTGGGAAATTTGCGTTCATTCGCCTCAAAAAATATATCAAAACACATTGAGCGCATGGAATGGAACAACAAAACAGATTTGATAGCTTATGGTACCGACAGCGGTGAGTAATTAATTGTGACTGCCTGCAACTAGGAAGCTCAACTAACTAATAAAAAAAAACCAATTACAAGGTATTAATTACAGGCGAACCTTTCCAAGGAGTCACCCGAGGACTAAGCAAATCTGAGACCTTTATCGTCCGTGATTCCTTATTTCAAATTATTATAAAGAACGGGATACCTTTTTAACAAAATAACAAGATTTTATACTATTTCTGCTAGCAGCCACGGCTTTCAAAACAGAATTTTCTTCGAAATTTTCGTTTCTAGAAACTAACAATTTATTTGCCATATCCACCTATTCACAGCCTCGCCAGAAGCGCACATTTTTCAAACCAGTCACAGAAGACAGGATTAAAAATAAAGTACAACAACTGAAATCGAAAAACGCTGATGACGTAACAGGTTCTCCAAATTCTGAAACAATCAAAAGAATTCATGCTCCAAATTGGAACACAACGGTGTTTAAATAACGATCTTGCCATGATGCTAGATTGTGAAGATGAAAGTCAGGAGAATACATCCGAAATTTGCAGCCCTGATGCAATTCTTAAAAAGGAACTGTGCACCGCAGTAAAAAAAGAAACATAACTGAAAGTCCTTTCAACTGGTGCAGCGTCAATCGAAAAGAATTTACAATTTTCGTCAAGTTTCAAGTTTGTCGCCTCGAGCGAATAGTTATTTAGGGGCGCAGGTATGATTTACGACCCGTTAGGAATCAGGCTGTAACCCGAAATGGCAGCAAAATTACTCTTTCTTAAATACAATGTTCCAATTTTTTAATTGAAGTACTAAATAAAAAAAAAAAAACATTATTAAAAACTAGTAACTTTTCATTTTTTATTTACTTAAATCACCTAATGTACTCACCAAAATTATTTCTTAAGAATATTTGACATGCGAATGCGATCCGCGGATGTTAGCTTTTAAACATCCGCATCCGCATTCGCATCCGCGGATGTCTAAAATTCCACATTCGCAACATCCCTACTCTGTATATGTACGAGTGTCTTACGGGCCAAGTGAGAATTCAATGCATATTTTATGAAGTGATTTTTTTTTTCAAGTGCCGTCCGTTTCGAGACATTGGCAAAGCGAAAACCCAACCAGCACTTGGATAACACCTATCCTGATAAAATGATCTCTCACACACACGAACGTGCGTCATAATTGATCGCACATTTACAAATGCCAGCTGGAACTTTTATGGACTTGGGCGAGCCTAAGATATTGACCAAAATTTCACACAGACACTATTACCAATCAAAATTCTAAAAAAGCGGATTTTCAGCCCACGCTGTTATGCAGCGATCTTTCCAATGTTTTTCATTTTAAATATTTTTCTATATACTATAGTTATAGCAAGCAAGCATATAACTTATTGGTCTTATATTAAAAAAGCGGCGCAGGAAAAAATTTGGAATAAAAAATCGCGCGAGTACCTACTAAAATATTGTTTCATAAAGGGCGAAGTTTAATACCCAAATTTTGCCACTTTTCAGCTCAAAAAATATTACAAGAAATAATTTTCATTATATCTGTTGATTGAAAAAATTATTTGGTTGCTGTAAACTTTCTTGAAGAAGTATTTACATATGTATACCGTCGATGCCTTTGCAAATCCGCCCATCGACCAATTCCAAAACCGACTATCTTACGGTACTCAAATTTTAAAGTAGAGCGAAAAAACTGTTTTTGACGTAGAATACGTCTTGCGTTTCGATATGGAGGCTATGCTTACAGTGACCATATTAACCAAAGTAAAATAAAGGAAATTTTTTTTGAATGTTTTGGGAATACGTACATACTACTTGTATGATAAAAGTACCTTACCAATATCGTAATTTAAATGACCAGTTAATTATATTATTTAATTGTACAAGTTCCTCTGCTGTAGCGAAAATTAAATAAAATAAAAATTAATTTATTAATAATTAACCAGTTAATTATATTATTTAATTGTACAAGTCCCCCAGCTGTAGCGAAAGATTAAGCCAAATCCTTTCCAAGGACTTCGCATCCTTTGCTAGCTAAATAATAATAATAATAATAATAATAATAATAGATTGGCGCTTACACATATGTTAGTGTTTGGCCGAGCTTCTCCTCCGATTTGTGGCGTGCGCCTTGATGTTGTCACACAAAGCGGAGGGACCTACAGTTTTACGCCGACTCCGAACGGCGATTGTATTTTTATGAGAAGCTGTTTTTCATGGCAGAAATACACTCGGAGGTTTGCCATTGCCTGCCGAGGGACGACCGCTGTTAAGAAAAAACCTTTTTCTAAATTTTTTTGAGATGTTGCTTTGACTAGGGCTTGAACCCAGGCATTGCGGAGTGGAAGCGCGCACTGCTTACCACTACACCACAGCGGCCGATTGAACCCAGGCATTGCGGAGTGGAAGCGCGCACTGCTTACCACTACAAAAACTGCTAGCTAAATACGTTTTCCATAATTCATACTGCACGACAAAGCCAGCACGCAGTTGTTCAAAATTGGAATTTAATGTTCATAATTCACCGGAGCCTTCATTTTTCAACTAATTTTTACTAAAAACCGAAAAAAAATTTTATTTTGGTGAACATTTTTTATAACATTTCAAATTTATTTTTGGGTATTTTTTTCGTTTTGTTGAACCATGCAATTGTTTTCCATTACTTTTTGTTATGTAAAATTTATTAAAAAATAAAATGAATGAAAAAAAAAATTAAAAATTAAGGCTCCAGTGAATTACGAACTCTAAATGCCAGTTTTGAACCAGTGTGCAGCAGGGGGTCTATTGTTCTCTTTCAGTGGAACTGGAAACTCAGCGTTCGACACGATCTCGACACGATCCTGGACACAACTTTCCCTGTGCTTTAAAGATTGTACAAAGATTACCGATTAAATAGAAACACTTAAGTTGGGCGCGAAACAAACTGGCGAAGGTTTTCACTATATTTTATAAGGGACATTTTTATTTTTCATATTCTGTGTTTAAAAATTTACCTCTGAAAAATGCAGAGCTAATTTAAAGGACAGTTTAAGAAATAAAGGACAAAAGGCGTTCTTTATTTTGAAAAAAATTATATAGGACAGGGGGTTAAAATAAAGGACTGTCCTTTGAAATAAAGGACGGATGGTCACCGTAGCTATGCTCAAATTTTGTAGTTATAATTTTTAGAGCTTCACGAAAACGCTTATTGCACAAGAACTAATCAAGCGATTTCAAAGAAAAGTATGGCGTTACAAAGACCAAAGTCCAAACCTATCGACAGATATCTCTTTGTAAGTAACCATTTCGGTTTCTGTCGTAGAAACAACGGTAAATATTGCCTTATTTTTGGGGTAAATTTTGAGCCTTTAAAGTGCTCTAGCGACTTATGATTTGCAGATATAACTTTCATTTTCGGGATGTAGATCCTTTGGAGTAATAGAAATATTATCGTGTACAAATTTTATATAAATTCAAAAAATATTGAGCATTTTAAGGCAAAAAGTTGTTGCAAAAATTAGCAAATTTGTTTTATTACCGAAATCCTCAAAAGTCGATCGAATGTTTTTGTTTTCTTTAATCAAAAATTAAATTTTTTTCCTTTGGTTTGGTATGTGGGAAGTATTGGTTGATATTTTCTAAGTATGTTTGTTTTATTCAAATATATAGGCATGAATGAATTTCCATGCAAAATAACTTCGTTATTATTTTGCAAACACGTGCTTGCGCTGGAAGTGAGGGAAGGGGACCAAAAGTGCTATGTGTGGGTAGGTATTGCGGCTTTTGAGCAACAGATGGCGCAATATGTATTTACAGCCTTATCGCGGCATATGTATGTAAATACATACATTCGTACTTGTATTGATTGTTAGTGTTAGTGTGGACCTGTTTTTCGTTTAGTAAGCTATGTATGTATGTATGAATGCATAATACGCGAAAACTTTTT